CCGCCAATCCCGGTCGAGGCCCCGCCCCCGCAACGGGATAGCCCCGCCCATAAAGCGCAGCGCGCCGGTCACGTGAGCCAGGGCGAGCTGAGTTCCCAGCGCCCCCAGGCGGACACCGGCGGAACAGGCGTGACCCGGGGGGGCTCGGCTGAGGCTCGCCGGCCGCGGGCGCCCTTTGCAGTCTGCGCGCCCAGAGCAACTTCCTGCAGCGCCTCCCAGAGCAGCGTGAGGTTCTCTCCCTAGCCCATCCCTTGTTTACTCCTGGGTACCCTAGAACACATACTGGAGCCGACGTGGTGTCTTTTTTAGAAAAAACTAAGTGTCTTTATTCCTGAATAGTTTAGTATGGCGGTGGGGACCGGAGACCTCTGGAGCCCAGGGAGTCGGCCCAGAGGGGTGCAGAGGTGCAAGGATCCGCTCCTCCGCAGTCCAGGCCCTGCAGGGGATGGCGATCCGACCAAAAGTCTGGACGAGGGCCCCCGGAGTCCCTGTCCCGGCGTGCTCCAGCAGTGGGGAGAAGGCTGCCGCCGAGGCTCGCCAGGACCTGGGGCGCCGCGCGGCGACCACTCCAGCTGACTGTTCCACCGGCGCAGACACTTGGGCCAGTCCGGCCCGCCCCCTGCCTACGCCTGTTCAAGCTCCAGGTCCCCGTAGAGCAGGGCTCCGCTGAAGATGGTGAGCGGCTCCTCCGAGTGCGCCAGCTGTCCCATGACCAGGTCGATGCAGACCGTGTCCCCGGCCTCTAGCGGCAGGATGAGGCTGAAGACCCCCAGGGCACCGGGGCTGGGCTGGCTCTCGGCAACCGGCTTATTCTCCAGCCCCTCGGGCTCATAGCCCCCCGAGTCTATGCGGGCCACACCCAGGTTGGAGCGAGACAGCACCGCCTCCACTTTCTCATGCCGATGTCCAGTCAGCACCGCGCTCAGCAAGTAGCGCCCAGCCAGTGGCGCTGTGAACAAGCCTGGTGACCAGGACGACAGTCAGAGAGGGGCTGGAGCCAGGAGGACCTCGGGGAACCCATCCTGAACTCCTGGTCTAGGGAGGGACTCACTAGCTCTTTTCCTCTCTCTTCTCCTGGAGCTTAAGCTCCAGAAGGGCAGGGAATTTGCTCTGCACCCCAGACACTTCAGACAGTGCCAGGACAAAGGTAGCCCCCAAATAAAAAGCTGCTGTAGCACAATCCGTCTCCACCCCATCAGCCAAGCAATCCTGGGAATGAATAAATGGAGAATATGTGTCTCCCTGAACCAGAGAACGCAAAGACTCACCTGCCTTACAGGCAACAACGAGAACATGTCACTGCACAGTCTCTAGAGCCCCTCAGCCTTCACCCTTGCCCCCAGTCCGAGCCCCAGGCTTACCCGTCACTGGGTCATAGTAGCCTCCGTCGTTGAGCAGGACTCTGTCGAAGGGCACTGTGCCTGGTTCAGACCGGGGCAAACTGAGGGCAGCTGAAAAGGCCACTCGGGGCACGGAGGCTGCTGGTGCCCCCTCCGCTCCTGGATGGGGGTGGGGTGGGGATTAGATTGGACCCTCAAAGGTCTCCCCCGTCCAGGGTCTGTACCCCAAGGTACCTTCCATTCTCCAATCCCTCCCTCCTGCATCCAATGAGAGGAACTCACCTTGCTCACCTTGGGGACCTGGGGGGAGAAGAAAGGAGACAGTAAGAAGTAGAGCAGCTGTCACTAAGTCACTCGGCAAACACCTGCCGAGTCTCCCCACTGTGCCCAGTGCTGTGCACACTTCCATGCACGAATGGGGGTGTCAAGAAAAGGAGAAAATGGGCCCTCCCTGGAGATGCAAGGGGTTGAAGTGCAGCACTGTGAAGCTGTCCACAGCCACTGTAGTGCGGGTTCGATCCCCAACCAGGGAGGTGACCCACAGGGTGCAGCAGGCCTCTCCTGACCCGCCTGCTGCTCCCCATCCACAGTGTATTTCAGTCAATCTGCTTCTGTCTGTTGAATCCTCTCATCCCCCTCCCGCGCCTCTTGCCTGTACCCCAGTTCTTGTATGTATGAATAAATAAATTGAAAAAAGGGAGGAATTAGGTAGACCCATTCTGGACAGCTGCTGTGCCATAATCCCCAATGCCCAGTCTCTACCTCTGTATAACTCCTGTAGGCTCAGCGTTAGTCTTCAATACATTGAGGCCAACATACCCAGGTAGGCAACACAGTGACTATAGAGACCCTAATCACTTTCCTAGTCATGATCTAGGACACCCAATTTCACACCCTTCTCCCTGCTTCTCTATCAAGTGCTGAGTAGAATGTCAGACCCTGGTTCCAGCAAGCCTCTCACCCCACGTACCTGGAGGCCCAATGGGCCCCTTTTGTCCATCCTTGCCTGGAGGTCCCGGTGGTCCAGCAGGGCCTGGGGGTCCCTGTAGTCCAGGAGGCCCAGGGGGCCCAACTGCACCTGCAGGCCCTGCAGTGACAGAACTGTACTGAAGGAGAGACACAGCCAGGGTTTCCAGAAGACCAGGAAGGGAGATGGGTGAGACATGTGGGGTTCGTGGTTGGGCACGGCCCTGCACAGCCTGGCTGGCTGGTTACCTGGCTGGCAAAGCAGCCCCTTCCTCCACGTACCCCAGACCTATCAGAGCCGCCGAGGAGGGCAGGAAGCTGCCTCTCATAGACAGATCACCCCCTGGGACAGTGGAGGCTTGGTGATTCGCGCTGGGCAGAACAAGGAGAAAGATGAGAGGAAGGCTGGTTGCTGAGGGTTAGGAGAAAGAATACGGCTTGAAAGAAGTTCCCCCCACCTCCCTGCTTTGTGCCCCTCACCTGTGAGGTCCTTCAGGCTCAGCTGGTGCAGCCGGTCCTCTAGGAGCTGCAGGGAGCTATTCAGGGCGCCAAGCCGCCTGCCCAGGCCCGCCTGCCCCCCTAGCAGCTTCTCCAGCAGGGCTGCCTGCGTGTGGGTGGTGCTGTTGGTTTCCCGCAGCCCAGCCCAGAGTCCAGCCACGTGTCTGGAAAGGCCTTCACGCAGGCCCTGCAGTCCCCCAGCCACAGTGTCCAGCCGTTCACAGACCCCCTCCAGACGACCCAATCGCCCCTCCAGGCTGGGGCACTGGCCGGCCTGTGCCTGTCCCTCCTCCAGGCCCCGGAAGCGCTCCTCACTCTCCGTGGCGTGCTCTGTGGCCTCCTGCTGCAGCCTGTTGATCTCAGAGATGATGCGGTCCTTGGTGGCTCCCAGGTCGGCCAGATCAGCGCCCTGGCCTTCCACAGTGGTCTGGAGCTCATGCAGGGAGTCATTGAGGGAGCTGAAGGTGAGGATAACTTCAGAGAGCTCTCCTTGCAGGGCCTGCAGGGCTGAGCCCGAGCTGCCCCCAAACACACTGAAGCCATCCAGAGGCCCTCGGCTTGGGCCCCCAACTCCTGAACCTGCCCCAGGACCCCGAGGGGGCAGCAGGGGGCAGGAGCAACGCTCCACGCCATCCCGGAGGCGGCCCAGCTCCTCCTGGACACCCCCGCAGGCCCCGCAGCCCTCATCCCCACGGGCCTGCAGCAGACCCTCCAGCTGGCCCAGCCGTGCAGCTGTGAGATTCAGCCGCAGCGTCAGCTCTGCCGCGGTGTCTTCCAGGGCATCTGCACGAGCCTGCAGCTGGCCCACGACCCCTTGCAGTCCCTCCAGCTCGGCCTGCTGGGCCTCCCCCATGGCGCCCACCTTGTGCAAGCCCGAGCCCACCAGCTGCAGCTGCCCCTCACTGTCCTGCACCCTGCGCTCCAAGGCACTGAGGATCTCGCTGACCTGGGAGTCCTGAGCCCCCCGCGCCCCGGAGCAGAGCTGGCCACACGCCTGCACTGCCCCTGCCACCTGCTCTTCCAGCACATCTAGCCGCCCGCCCAGCTGCCCGCTCACATTGGCCAAAAGTCCCTCCAGCTTCTCTAGTCGGCCCCGGGCCGGCGGCCAATGGCCCAGCCCCCCAGGACGCCCAGGCCAGCTCGCCCCCTGTTCTTCTGAAGGCCCCAGGGTGGAGTTGAACTGGTCCTCGAGACGAGAGAGGCGGGAGGCTAAACTGGTGTAGCCGGGGGGGTGGCCCCCCTGCCCGGTTGCTCCTTCCAGGTCGGCACCCCGCCGCCCACTCAGCACTGTCACTGAGCCGGCCACCACATCCAGCCTCCGCTCCAGCTCGGCCAGTCTCCGGCCCAGCTCGGGAGGGCAGCATTCCTGAGAGGGCCTGCGGCCCAGGGCCTGCCGCTGCCGCTCCTCCAGAGAGCCCAGAAGCTTCTCCAGGGCTCGCAGCCGTTCCCTGTCCTCCTGCTGCTGCCGGCGGAAACCATCCAGCCCTGCCAGGCACCCGGAGCAGGACTCCTGCAGCCGCCGCTCCAGCTCCCGCAGCAGCTCCCCGCTGGGGCCCGGAGGGGCGGGGGCCAGGCTCTGGGCCCGGCTGTGGCCGCCACCGCCATTGTGGTGGTTGTTGAGATGGCCCAGCTCCTGGTCGTGGGTGGAGACACGGTTGTCCAGTTTCTGCAGCTGCTGCTGGATCTCGTTGAGGGTTTCATGCACACCAGGTCGGGCAGCTGCATCTGCGGGCTGCTGCCTTCCGTTAAAGGCCGTCTCCACAGCCTTCTGGACGTCGTCTGCCAGGCGCCCACTCAGTCCCTGCAGGACACCCCGAAGGCCCTGCAGCTCCTTTGTCAGGCTCTGCACCTGCTCCTCCAGCTGCTGCACCTTCTCAGACTCCCCAGGGCCTGGCAGAGAGAGGGGGGCAAAGGGGCTGGACCTCGAGCTTGGAGCTCACCTCCTGGGTCCCGCTCTTCCCGCACTAAGTCAGAGGTCCTAGGCTGAACCCACTACTCCTTTGTTGGGCGATTTGTGGCAAGAGAAGATTCAAGAAAACTCCACTCACTGGGCCAGACTGAGGCATGGCCCTCACAGTTCCATTAGCTCTTCCCATTTTGCAGACCGGGAGAGAACCGGAAAGATCAAGTAACGGATCATAGATGACACGTTTGCCAAGTGGCAGCGCTAGGTTTCAAACCCAGATCATCCATCTGACCACCCAGCCTATGTCCTGTGCACAACACATTTTAACTTTTAACAATACATTTAATGGCACTAAGTGCCCTCCCTCCTCGGGCTGTCAGGACAAGCAAAATGGGAGTGTGAGGGAGGCTGTGGACCCCACGACAGCAGCTTTTCCTGGGCAACATGCCCTACAAGCCTGCGGGCCTCTGGCTGGACAGAGGAGAGTCGGCCAGAAGTTCCTGTTTCCATAATTACAGCATGACCACCTCCCTGGCAGGCGAACACCGGCCTCCGTAGCACCCGCAGCGCCCAGGACTCCCAGCGCTGCACGGACTGCTGCATTCTGGGACCCGCAGTCTCCAGAGGCCGCGAGGGGCTGGGACCTGCAGTTGGCTGCAGTGCATGCTAGGATTTGTAGTTTCCACCCGCTAGCCCCTGGGACCAAGCTTCTCAAAGGAATTCCCCTCCCTCGGGCAGCTGTTCCCAGCTAGGACCCATCTTGGCCACATGTGGGCGTGTGTGAGCATTCTCTTTCGCTCTTTTTCTTTCTCAGTCTGCCGGCTTCTCTCTCTCTCTCTCAAGCATTCACAGGGAACTTCAGGGTTCTCTAGAGCATGGGGTGTTCCCCTCGGCGGCCTGGCCCCACACTGTCTCCCACTTCGCTCTCAGCAGCCCCCCTTCTCACCTTCTCCCCCGAGTCCACTCAGGTGGCTGCCCGCACTGGAGCCGGAGAGGTTGGGGCGGGCGGGCCGGGGCCGGGATGTGGTTGGTGCCGGACCCAGCGCCGGGGCAGAGCCCTCGGCACAGTCATCGCCCCTGTACCCCTGACAGCACCTCCACTCCATGTCCGTCACGGTCTTGTAGGCCACCCGGTAGCGTGGGCGGACGAAGCTGCGGTACCTGGGGGAGACAGAGGGGGCTTGGCTCCTCCCTGTTCTGTCAAGGACCCCCATGGGTCCTGGGCTTCAGAGATGGGCAGCTGCTGGTGGGTGAGGCCTGTCCCTCAGGCTGGATCCCCCTTACTGTCCAGCATGTGGCCTTGCTCAGCTGACAGCTGTCAGCCTGTTGGCCGATGGCCAAATCCCCGTTCTTCCTCCCCTCGCCCTGTGCTGGAACCCTGAACTCTTCTCCGTGAGCATGACCCAGCCCAGACAAAGCATTTGGGAGCTGTTAGGGCGGTCTGGGTGAGCTTCAGCATCTCACCAGCCACACTGCTGCCTCAGCATCCCCTCCGGCGCCGCTCCCTGAAGCCCCTGGGCTGGCCCCTCTCTGCCTGCTTTGTACAGACCCCCTCACTTGGCCCAAATCCTCCTGCCCAGGCCCAGCCCCCACCGAGTCCCCTGCGCCCAGGGAGGGGGCTCACATGATGCTGCGGGGACACTGGGGCTGGCCCCAGCCACAGGGCTGGTAGTCAGGCTTCACGAAGGTCTCCACTCCATCCTCAAGGACGCAGCTCACTGTCCGTGTCACCACGTAGGCACACCAGTTCCTGCAGGCACAACCCCACTGGGCCCAAGGGCCAGAGACACACGCCCCAGAGAAGGGCCCAGGGGCTACCAGAGGGCTGAGGGAGGGTCAAGAGATGTGGGGGTGGGGGTGGGGGGTGTGCCCAGGGACCAGTGAGAACCAGGGTTTTGGCAGGGCAGCTGCCCCACGCTTTCCTGTGCGGCAGAAGTAGATAAAGACTTTTCAAGACTGGAGAGGAGGCGCAGAATGGGAAGCCACAGCTACGAGAAATGGATCCTCATGGCTGGGGGAGGGGGCCCGGGCAACGGCTGAATTCATGGATTTCTTTATTTCCCTTTTGGTTCCCGTGCCCAGTGTGGTGAGGCCCCTGTGAGCTGGCCACTGAGCCCCTGAGGTGATGCCCTGGGTGCTGGCTTCCACCCTCCCCCCAGGGGAGAGGCCGGGCAGGCTGGGGTCCAGCTCCAAGCTAAGAATAAGCCATTGATGAGCCTGCTGCCCCTGGGGCTCGCCTTCTACACTCCCTCGGCCTCATTCATGCTGGCCTCCAGTCTGGACAGATGCGGTGAGCGGGGCAAGAGCGGTGTCAGAATCATGGATCACCGGAGGGGGTGAGAAAGCCCTAGACAGGGATACAAACTCTGCCCAAGCACCCCAGGCTGGTGGGCAGCTGGCGGGAAAGCCCAGCTCACGCCCCTAAGTTTCCCTGGACACCCAAACTGCATGTCCCCACGGGGAGGATACAGGAGCTGAGCCCTCTCGGGGGGCTAGAGAGGGGAGCCTATCTGTTCTTGGAGCCCCTGGGGGAAGCCCCACGGAAGGTGGGCGTGTGGAGAGTCACCTGAGAGATGGCGTCCTTTTCCCAGCAGGGAAGACACCTCAGGGGACAGTAGCCCGGCTGGGGCCAGGACACCCACCTTCTGACCCACCCTCGCACCCACCTCCAGCCCTGGCTGGGACCCCGAAACTCTTACCTATGGCGGCTGGCAGGCCGGGAAGCACTCTGGGCCTGGGGTCCCCCGGGGCTGAGGGGCCCACTGCCGCCAGTGTAGAGGCTGTAACCGCGAGGAGGGTAGCTGGCTGCCCCCACGGCCGAGGTCAGCAGGCAGCAGAGGTAGCAGCTCCACAATGCGTTGGGGGCCATGGTGGCTGCGCTCGGCGGTGGCCCTCAGAGGCACATCCTGGCCTGCCCGCTGGTGCCTCTGTCCGGAGCAGGGTGCCACTGCACCAAGGGACAGCGCCCGCCCGTGGGTCCTGTCCCCAGCTTCCTGCCGGCAGCCCCCAGCCACAAGCCTCCTCCTTGGCCGCCCGGCCTGACCCGTCTCCCCTCCTCTTTCCTCCTCAGGCTCCGTCTGTCCCTCCCTCGGTTCCTTCCGCTCTCCTCTTCTCCACTTCTGAGGGGAGTTTGTTCTCTGTGCCCCTCGCCTCCTGTGCCTGGTCTGTGCCCCTCTCAGATGCTGTCCTGGGGGCTCCACTCCCTCTCCCCGGTGGCCTTCCTTTGCTCTCTCTATCGTTTTTCCCCAGTGACCGGGTCCTGGGGGTGACAGGCTTTGCCCCTGTGGCGGCTCAGAGGCTCAGGAGTGGCTGCGGGGCGGGCCCTGGCCTCCCGCCTCACTCTCCTGCTCACTCCCCTCCCTTCCCCCCTGTCTGGCTGGCGGTCCAGCCTCCCTCTTCCTCCCCCCACCTCTCCAACCATCGTGCGCCACATCTGCTTCTTGTTAACTCCGGGAAAGAGAGGGAAAAAAAGGAAAAAACAGAAATGTGGAGTTGCCGCCGGGCTCGGGGCCAGCCTCTCAGACGGTCCACATGGAGCCGGACCCAGCCGGGGCCGGAGCCGGGGAGGAGGCCTGGGCTGGTCATGTAGACAGGGAACGGGAGCGGGAGCTGGAGCCACAGCTCTCCTGGGGCTGGGACCGGCCTCCCCTGAGAGAGGAGACCTGAGAGAGGAGCCCAGAAGGGAGAGGCCGAGGGGAAGGCTAGAAAAGAGGGGCTGAATTTATAGAACTCTACAGGCTGTCACTCCCCATCTAGGCTGGCTACCTCCTTTTATAGATGTGAAACTGAGGCCCAGAGTGGGAAAGTAACTTGTACAAACTAACACAGCAAGTCAAGAACAGGCCTGGGATTAGAATCTAAATATTTAGATGGGGAACAGGAAAGAGGAAAGGAGTGAGGGCTACTAGGCCAGGGAGGAGGAGGGAAAGGATGCCACCATGGCAGGCAGGCAAGGAATTCAGAGAAGACACAAGAGCAAGAATGGGATCTGGAAATGGGGGAGCAAGTGAAAGGGAGGACGTTGTCAGGAGAAGACCAAATGAACATGGGCCCCAGGCCTTCTTGGTGACGGTCAGGTCCTAAGTGGAGGGAAGGGTGGGGGCAAAGGGCCCTACTGGGTATGACCGCAGGAAGTCACTCCCCAGCCAGAGGCACATCTGACAGCCTATGTCTAGTGGGCCACAGACTCAGTCACATTCAACCTCCACCCACGGGACACCTCCCAGGATGTCTGTGTCAGCTGCCCCTGCACCAGGTGGCCCTCAGCACTGCTCTGGACCAGGGGCTCCCTGGGGTGGGGGTGAGGGGGTACCTGGGAGAGTGAAGCTGAAGTAGACAGCAAGATGCTGAGCGTGCTGGGTTCCGAGCGCAGGCGAGCACCAGTGTGTGCACAGACGCGTGCGTGCAGATAAACTGCAGTGAGGGGCGGCCAGGGCTGCTGAGAAAGCAGACAGAACTAACACGAGGCAGAAGAGACAGTGCCAAGGTTGGCTGGGCAAATGGATGATGTGTTCTGGGCAAGACAGCTGGCTGTCCTTCTCGGGGGCATCAGAGGAGGATTATTGGAAGGGACAACCTGAACGGTGTTGGGGCAGAGCGAAGAGCAGAGAGGAGGCGAGGGGAGCGATCCTCGCTCCCTCATCTGTCAGAGGCGGTGAGAATGGCGCCTCCTGCCTGGGCCTGGGAGGGGTTAGCTACATGGAAGCACTTCAAAGAGGGCCGGTGTGTGTGAGAATGTTCACTAAATGTCAGCTCAGCAAAAGGGGGGACAGGAAGTCAGAGAAGTTGACTCCGGAAAAATCAGAGAAAGGCTTAAAAGACTAAACGCCTGGGCACGTGGAGTAGGGGTCACACAAATGCAGAGAGAAACTGCAGCGAGCCAAGGGCAGCTGTTTAGGCACAGGATGCGGAACCAGGAGCCGCCCTTAGGGACCATTTGGCCTCAGCGTTCTCTGACTCCCTCGGGGCTGGGGTCTGTATTGTCCTGGGTCCCTTCACACTCCTGTGATGCAGCCTTGGTCTCTGAGGTGACAGGGACTGTAGGAAGGAAGAGAAAGCTGCGAATGAATGGACGAGACGAGGCGGCTCCCGGAGACGATGCCAGCGTTCCTGCCAGGGTGGGAAGACCACAGAGGAGCAGTCTGGAGGGGACAGGACCTTGGTTCGGCCCTCCTGACATCAAGTGGAGCAACACATGACACTGAGAAGACATGTCCGGAGGTGGGTGAGGGGCCCCGACGCGGGGAACCACTTGCGGGGTAACAGTTGGAAACCATGAGAATGGGCACTAGCAAATCGTCAAGGTGACCGAGTGAGCTGGGTCTGCCTCCATCCGATCTGCCTCTGTGGCCCAGACGCCGATGCCTGGGGAAAATGTTGGCAAAAAGAAAGGGCAGCGGGCCTCCCTGCTGGCCCAAGGGGTTGAGGCTCTTCACAGCCGCCGCAGCATGAGTTCGATCCCTGGGCCAGGGCGCTGACCCGCAGAGCACAGCAGACCTCTCCTGTCTGCCTGCTGCTCCCCTCGGCAGGGTATTTCAGTGAGTCTGTCTGTTCTGTTCCCTTCTCTGCCTCTGGTGAATCCTCTCAACCCCCATACCTCTTGCCTGTACCCCAGTTCTTGTATGCATAAATAAATAAATCTTTAAAAAAAATAGAGCAGTGAAAGTAAATTTTGGAACTAACAGAAATGGAAATTGGTGGCTGGCCCTTAAAGGTCTGAGGATGCGCACACAGGAAGACTGATGCGCATCTACCCACAGGAGAGGCTGACTTCTGTCTGCTGTTAGTAGAAGGCTGCGGCTTTGTCCCTGGCCTCTATTAATTCCAGGTCCTGGCCCTGGCCCTGGCAGCAAGCCAAACTACTTCCCTTCCTAGCGGCTGCTAGGGGTTTTCTTTCTCTGCTGCTCCCCTTCTTCAGTCCCTGCAGTTGCCTCTGGGAACCTGAAGTCAGCCCAGCCATCTTGTCACTTCCCAGTTGTCACCTACTCTTTTGCCTGACCCTTATGTTTAAACATCGGTTGTATATTGCAAGTGTGTTGAATCAAAAATGTTGACTTTGAGATAGTTGTAGCAGGGCCCTCCCTGGTGGTGCAGCTGGTTGAAACGCAGCACCGCGATGCTAACTGCAGCCAGTTCGATCCCCAGCCGGGGAGGTGACCACATGGCGCCGCAGACCTCTCCTGCCTCACCCGCTGCTCCCCTCAGCAGTGTACTTTCGTTGATCCGCCTGTTCTGCCCCCCACTTTGTTTCTTACCGTCCCTGCACCACAGGCCTGTACTCTGGTTCCAGATGCATAAATACATCTTTAAAAAAAAAAAAAACAGTAGTTGTAGTAGGTTGTATTTAATTTATTTCTGTAATTAGGAACCAGACGTAGCGACTGACAAGAATGTTTGTGAGATCTCAAATAAGTCAGTGGCTCTGGGTTCACTGGGCGGCCTGAGGCGTCGGGCAGGCAGCCTACGCTGGAGACCGAGGTTAAGCAAGACTGCAGGGGTGCTGTGGTCGTGCTAGGGGCCAGTGGGGAAGTGCTGCTGCTGGTGGTATTGGTAGGGAGCCACAAATTTCCAAAGCATTGGCAAGAGAATTCCTGTGGCCAAAAAATCCCAAGTCCCCAGGGCTTGAGGACAAGATCTGTTTTGTAACCTTTCCAAGATGGGGGATTTCCAAGGGTCTAGTGCCAATGGGAAATCATGGCTCTACTATGCAACTAACTCATTCATTCAACCATCTCTGACTAAGCCATGAGTTCATGTGCCTGGGACCAGGACAGCAATGGCACCAGCAACTAAGGAACATTTATGTCTAACACCTTCTAACAGAACAAAAAGTGGGAAGAACAAAAGGACCATAATATGAGTTAGAATTTGGACTATGTAAACCCAGATGGGAAGTCTAGCTTATGGGGACTCCTGAGGGGAAGTCCACTCCTGCTCAAATGCATATATTTTCCTTTTCCTTTGTTAAAAACAACACCATAGGCCCCCCAAAGTGTCACTTCTGCTAAGCCCTGCTGTCACCAAACTGAGACCTAATTATAGTTTTGGCAACCCTCAGAAAACAGAATCTGGTCAAGCAGGATCCACAATGTCAGCACTAGCGAGGTTAACTACCTGTAGACCACCTGCCCTCCCCTACAGGAAACTGACTTGCCATCACCAACCCACTGTTTGCTAGTCTAACCTGTGTCCATTCCTTTAAGTTTCATTCATTCCTATAGGTTTCTCACTTAGTACAGCTCCTCTGTGCTCCTTTCTTGGTGCTAGATGGGACGCTGTCCCGTTCATGAATCCTTAAATAAAGCCAGTAGGAGCTTTTAAATTCATGCCATTGAATTTTAACACCTTCCAACCCTTCTCACTGGTAATCTAGAAGTTAGACTTCCTGGACTCGGTTCCCATTTCCCAGGTCTTGTTTTTCACTACTGAGCCTAACCCTGGCTTCATGTCTTCTTGAAAATGTCACACTAATCACCAATTTGGTGCCATGTGCCCACCCCCCACCTCCCTCCAGGATGAGGTTTTGCTAGTCTCCTTTCCCACATACTTTCCCACCCAAGCTTTGTTAGCTCTTAGCTAAGTCTAGTGTAGTCCTGGAGACCATTTTTTTAATTTCAGTTCTCTCTAGACACTAGGCCAATGACCCCTTCAAGGCTGATAAACACTTGCTGACCTAGGCACAGGAAGTTTTACAAAGGACATTTCTGGGTGGTTCTAAAACAAATCCTTTCCTGCTTGTCTCTGGCACTAGGACAACCTACTGAGCCCACAGCCTAACATGGTGCATAGAATGGAGGAAAAACCAGGTGACACGGTCTCTCACTAGTTGTAGACCTTTGGTCAAGTCAGAGGCTACCTGGGCTTCAGTCTTCTTCTTTACAAAATGATCTTGAAGATCCCCTTCAGCTCTGACAACCCAAGATACTGTGCACCTGGCCAGCTGGTTTCAGGACAGACTTAGAAATTGGAAGCACTTCCAGGACCTTTGCTTAAGACATCTGTAGTCTGGATGTCTGCTCCCCAGGGTCTGCGTCTGGAGCTCTCGTTGGGTTTTAACAGCAGACCTAAGTGTCTGGTTGGGTTTGGATTGACTTCGCATTTCCAGGAGACACAAAGCATGTGTGTAATCCTTTAAAGCCTAGACCTGGGACTCATGAAGGAGTGTATGTCTGGGTTTCACTATTACACTCGCGTTTGTGATTCTAAATAGGAAACTTCTGGGAAACACTGGGGTGAAGTAGGGAGGTCAAGGGATGACAGATTGCTAAAGGCAGAGACTGCACTTAGAAGTCGGGGGCACGGAGGACAGGCTTGCCACTGGTCCCAGGCAGGGGCCACTGTGCGCTAGGGCATGGGTACATCACTGCACACCCAGGGCCCGCGGTCCCCAGACCCAGCTGTTCCAGTCCCTTAGCAGCTCCTCTAGTTTTCTTTGGCGCAGGGAAGCAGAAGCATCCCCTGGCCCTCGCCCCCTCTACCACAAAGCAACTGGCTTCCATTACCCCTGACAGCTCCAGAGCTGCAGCCCAGCCCCAGAGAGGCAGCCCAGCCCCCACCCGGTCCCGTCCCAGGCTGGCTCAAAGCCGTTCCCTTTTATGGTGAAGAAGAGGAAAGGCAGGGACCGAGGCGGGGAGTAGGTTTGTCCGGGCAGAGCTGTAGTCGGTGAGTGACTGACACACTGCTCACCAGAGACCCTCACACTCCTACCCACTGCGGAGCTCCCCCAACCCCCACCCCGGGCGACACGCTCTGCTCCGGACCCAGAACCCAGGACCCCTCCTGCTCGTCCCAGCCCTTCCTCCCTACTCCTCCCTCACATCCGGGGGGTGATTTCCCACTTGGCTGAAGGCCCAACGTTTGGGTTTTGATTCCGGGAGGGTCCGCCCTACTTCCGACGCCCACCTCCGAGGCAGGGGTGGAGTGAAGGAGCCTGGGTAAGCGAGGCTCCGGTCCGATCCCAGCCAGGGTGGCTGTACTTGGTGGGGTGTGGGCAGAAGCGCTGGGGTCGGAGAGGAGCACCCCGCAGGCCCAGCCCTGTCTCCATTCTGCACCATTCCCCACCCGCCTCCCTGCAGCCCCGGCCAGGGAGGGGACCCAGTGGGCAGGGCCCAAAGGAAGCACCTGGTTGGGCCGGGCCGGGAAGCGAAGGGTGGGCAGCAGCGCGGGGGGCCGAGGCAGGAAGAAGGGTCGGAGTTTAGGGGTCGGACGCGCCTCCCACGTGGCCCCACCGCGCACCCTGGTCCAGCCACTCCTCGGCTCCCGGGAGACAGGCACAGCGTGCAGGCCGCGCCAGCTGCCGCCAGCTGCCCGGCGTGAGG